TCTCCCGCTGGGAGCTGGTGTGAGGGGCGCTTGGGTCCCGCTGGACCACAGCTTGTATCTTACCCCCTTTGCGAGGCGCTGGTTTCTCATGGGTGTGGATGTAGTCTGGCTGTTGTCCTGTGTCTTCTGGTCTTTATTTTAGGATTAGTTGTATTTGTTGTATTTTCAAAAATATATATGGTTTTGGGAGGAGATTGCTGCTGCTCTACTCACACCGCCATCATGGTTCTCTCCAGTTTAGATGCCTTTTATCTCTTTATTTTGTCTGATTGCCGTGGCTAGGACTGCCAGTACTACATTGAATAAAAGTTTTGAAAATGGACATCCTCATCTTCTTCCTGATCTTAGAGGAAAAGCTTTTAGTTTTTCACTGTTAAATATGATGTTGGCTATTGGTTTGTTGTATATGGCCCTTATTATGTTGAGGTACATACCTTCTAAACCCCGTTTTATTGAGAGTATTTATCATGAATGGATGTTGAATTTTGTCAAATGCTCTTTCAGTATCTGTTGAGATGATCATTGTGGTTTTTATCCTTTTTGTTACTGTGGTATATGATACTGATTTGAGTTACAAATATTGTACCATCCTTGCATTCCTGAAATAAATCCCACTTGGCCCTAATGGATGGTCTTTGATCTATTTTTTAATGTAGTTTGCAAATATTTTATTGAGGATTTTTGCATCTATGTTCAAGGATATTGGTCTAAGTTTTTCTGTTTTGTGGTGTATGACTGGTTTTGGTATTAGAGTGATGCTGGCCTCATAGAATGAGTTTGGAAGTATTCCCTCGTCTTCTTTTTGGAATACTTTAAGAAGGATGTGTATTAGATGTTCTTTAAATGTTTGGTAGAATTCAGCTGTGAAGCCATCTGGACCTGGAGTTTTGTTTTTAGGTAGTTTTTTGATTACCAGTTCGATTTCATTGCTGGTAATTGTTCTGTTCAGATTTTCTGTTTCTTCCTGGGTCAGTCTTAGAAGGTTATATTCTAGAAAGTTTTCCACTTCTTCTAGGTTGTCCAATTTAATGATGAATAATTTTTCGTATTATTCTCTAATATGTCTCTGTATTTCTGTGGTATCCATTGTGATTATTCCTTCTTTGTTTATGATTTTGTTTATATGTGTACCCTCTTTTTTTCGTGGTAAGTCTGGCTAGAGATTTTTCTGTTTTGTTTATTTTCTCTATGAACCAGCTTCTAGTCTCATTGACTTTTTTCTGTTCTTCTGTATTTCTGCTCTGGTCTTTATTATGTCCATTTATTCTTCTTTTACTAGTTTCTTTAATTGTGAATTTAGACTGTTTATTTGGGATTGCTCTTGTTTTTTGAGGTAAATTGTATTTGCTGTGTACATTCCTCTTAGAAATGCCTTTGCTGAGTCCCACAGATTTGGGGTTACTGAGTTTTTGTTTTCATTTGTCTACATGTATTGCTTGATTTCTGTTTTAATTTGTTCATTGATCCATTGATTATTTAGAAGCATGTTGTTAAGCCTCCATGTGGTTGTAGGCTTTTTTGTTTTCTTTGTGTAATTTATTTCTGATTTCATACAGTTGTGGTCTGAGAAGCTGCTTGATACAGTTTCAATTTTTTTGAATGTAGGGAGGCTCTTTTTGTGGGCTAGTATGTGTACATGCATTCCATGTACACTTGAGAAAAATGTGTATCCTACTGCTTTTGGGTGGAATGTTCTGTAGATATCTGTTAAGTCCTCTGATCTAATGTATTGGTCAGTTCCTCTGCTTCCTTATTTATTTTCTGTCTGGTTGATCTGTCTATCTATGTGAGTGGTGTGTTAAAGTCTGGTAAAATGAATGTGTTGCACTCTGTTTCCCCCTTTAATTCTATCAGTATTTGTTTTACATATTTAGGTGCTCCTATGTTGGGTGTATAGATCATTATAAAGGTTATATCCTCTTGTTGGACTGACCCCTTTATCATAATGTAATGTCTTTCTCTGTCTCTTGTTACTTTCTTTGTCTTGAAATGTATTTTGTCTGATAGAAATACTGCTACTCCTGCTTTTTTCACCCTATTATTTGAATGAACTATTTTTTTCCATCCCTTCACTTTTAGTCTGTGTATGTCTGCGTCTGAAATGAGTTTCTTATAGGCAGCATATAGATGGGTCTTGTTTATCCAGTTTGCCACTCTGTGTCTTTTGATTGTTGCATTCAGTCTATGTACATTTAAGGTGATTATTGATAGATATGTACTTAATTGCCATTTTATTGTTTTCTGGTTGTTGTTTTTTTAAAAATTTTGTATCATTAATCTACAATTACATGAAGAACATTATGTTTACTAGGCTGCCCCCTTCACCAAGTCCCCCCCCACATACCTCTTCACAGTCACTGTTCATCAGCGTAGTAAGATGCTGCAAAATCACTACTTGTCTTCTCTGTGTTGTAGAGCCTGCCCCATACCCCCTCCGACGTTATACATGCTAATTGTATTGCTCCCTTTCTTTTTCCTCCACCCTTATCCCTCCCTTCCCACCCATCCTCTCCAGTCCCTTTCCTTTTGGTAACTGTTAGTCCATTTGTGGTTTCTCTGATTCTGCTGCTGTTTTATTCCTTCAGTTTTTCTTTGTTCTTATACTCCACATGTGAGTGAAATCATTTGGTACTTGTCTTTCTCCGCCTGGCTTATTTCACTGAGCATAATACCCTCTAGCTCCATCCATGTTGTTGCAAATGGTAGGATTTGTTTTCTTCTTATGGCTGAATAATATTCCATTGTGTATATGTACCACATCTTCTTTATCTTCTGGCTGTTTTAATAGCTCCTCTCTGTTCCTTTCTTTCTTATACTTTTGTTATTTGTTGGCGTTCTTAAGTGTTGTGATTGAATTTCTCTTTTTTTTAAATTTTCTTTTTGTGAATCTATTGTTGGCTTCTGTTTTGTGGTTACCAAAACTGCAAGGAAAGCTTCTTTACTATGTAACAGTCTATCTTAAATTGCTAATTACTCTATTTCAGACACAATTTAAAGGTACTTTTTCATCTTCTTCCTCCTCCTCCTCCTCCTCCTCTTCCTCCACACTTTATGTATTAGATGTCATAATCTGCACTTTTCGTGTATCCCTTGACTTATTTTGTGAATACTTGATTTTGCTTCTTTTGTTTTAATTGTGTACTGGTTTGGTAATTAATTGGTCTACCTTTACTTGCGGGTTTATTTTCACTTGCGAAAGCTATTTAGACTAAGGAATATTTCCATCTACACAGTTCCTTTAACATATCCTGTAGGGCTGGCTGACTATTCCTTCAACTTTTATGTGGAAATTGTTTAATCCCCTCTACAAATTTCAGTGATAATCTTACCAGGTGGAGGATTCTTCGTTGGATGTCTTTCTGTTTCATTACATTGAGTATATCATGCCAGTCTCTTCTGGCTTGTAAAATTTCTGCTGAGAAGTCTGCTGATAACTGATGGTGTTTCCTTTATAAGTAATCTTTTTTCTCTTTCTGGTTGACTCTCTCCTTATCCTTGATCTCTGCCATTGTAATTATTATGTCTTGGTGTTGTCTTCCTGGGGTTCCTTTTGTTAGGGGCTCTCTGAGTTTCCATGACCTGAGTGTCTTGTTTCCTTCCCCAGATTGGGGGAGTTTTCAACAGTTATTTACTTAAAAAGACTTTCTATCCCGTTGTCTCCCTCTTCTCCTTCTTGTACCCCTATTATATAAATTGTTTCATTTGGATTGGTCACACAGCACTCTCTTTATTCTTTCATTCCTAGAGATCCTTTTTTCTCTCTGTTCCTCAGCTTTGTTGTGTTCCTCAGCTTTGTTGTGTTCCTGTTCTCTTGTCTTCCAATTTCTATCTCATTGTCTTCTCTACCTGCAGTAATCCACTCTTGCTTGGTAATTAATTGGTCTACCTTTACTGGTGGGTTTATTTTCACTTGTGAAAGCTATTTAGACTAAGGAATATTTCCATCTAAAAAGTTCCTTTAACATATCCTGTAGGGCTGGCTGACTCTTAAATCCCTCCATTGTATGTTTCATTTCAGATACTGTGTTTTTCAGCTCTGAGTGGCCCTTTTTCAGGTAGTCTCTCTTTTTTGAAGTTCTCCTTGAGATCTTGAAACATTTTTCTGTAGATCAGTGAGCATGTTTATGACTTTTACTTTGAAATCTTTATCAAGAAGATCGGTGATCTCCATTTCATTTAGCCCTATTTCTGATGTCTTATCCTGTAGTTTTGTTTGGAACATACTCCTCTGCCTCCTCCTTTTGTCAGGGTTTCTGTGTTTCTTCCCTTGTAGTAGATGGATCTGTTATGTTTCCTGGCCTATAGAGTAATATCTTTATGAAGGAGGCATCTTATGGTGTCCAGAGCTCAAGACTGTATTCTCCAGTGCCTGGTTCTGCTTTGCAGAAACCCCAGCTGTTTTTGGTGTGGAGTAGGTGGGGCCACCTTTCATCTGAGGCTGCAGCTCTGCTTTCAGTTTGCTTCAGCCACCTTTGTGATCTGAGCAGAGGCTGCTGCTGGGATCACTGTGGGCAGGGTTGCCTTCTGCCTGCCCTGCAGTGATGGCTGGGCTGCAGTGTTAACGGGGTGAGTGGGGCTATTGTGTGGCCCTGGGGCAGGATGGGATGTGCAGCACCGTGTTTGGAGACCTGTGGGGAGGAAGAAACTCCCTGGGTGGGCTCCTACAGGCATCTCCCTGGCTTTTCTGAAATGGGGTTGAGCAAGCTAGGAGAGTCTCCTTTTCTCTGCCAGGCAGCAAAGTCTGACACTGCTGCTGGGCTGAGTGGGTTGGCTTGCTAGCAGTGCACATGGAGGCAACTTGGGTCTGAATTGCCAGTGAGAGGGATGGAGTGTCTGGGGCTCCCAAGAGTTCCAGACTTGTTGGGCTGAAGGAGGGCTGGGGAGATATCTCCCACCTGCCTTTTATCTTGAGGATAGAGCTCTGTCCAATCCTTACTCCTCTTTTTCCCCTCCTATTGCTGGCAAGTCTTTCAAACTGCCATCTCTGCTTTGGGTCTCAGGACTGGTGGTGCATGCCTGCCCTCAACAACAAACTCTGGAGTCTCAGTCTTCCAGCGTGTTCAAGCTGTCCCTGGTGTCCAGCCCTGCTCATTACCAGAACCCAGTGCAATGTGGACTTGTCCTCCCAGAGCAGTACTTCCGGGCCAGGTTTGCAGCATACCTGAACTCCTTTCCCCTCCCTGCTCCATTCCTCTTTCTCCCCCCTGTGGACTGGGGTCAAGGGAGGACTTGGGTCCTGTTCAGTAGTGGCTCTGCCACTTTACCCTTATCTGTGTGGTCTTTTTTTCTTCCCCTGGTGCAGGTGGTCTGTTCTGCAGTCTTTAGGTCTTTTTCAGGTTTAGTTGTATTTGCTGTATTTTCTTTTATGTGTTTTCGGGAGGAGGTTTCTGCATTTCCTTCCTACTCCACCATCTTTTTCTTTACCTCCTATATAAACTTTTGAAGAAATAAGAGGAGGCAACATTTCCCAGTTCTTTCTGTGAGCCCAACCTTACCCTTATACCAAAACCAGGGAAAAGTAGAGGAAAACTACAGACCAATATCTGTTATGAACATAGATGCAAAAATCCTTAACAAAATTTTAGTAAACTGAAGCCAATAGTATATACAAAGGAGAACACATCATGACCAGGTAAGGTTTATCCCACCATTTCAAGGTTGGTTTAGCATTCAAAATTCAAGCACTATAACTCACTGTATTAACAGACTAAAAAAGAAAACATTTTGATTATCTCAAAAGCAGAAAAAGAATTTGAGAAAATTCATCTTCCATTCATGTTAAAAACTTGCAGCAAATTAGGAGGGAACTTCCTCAATCTGATGGAGAGCTTTTTGAGAAACCTCCAGCTAATACTATATTTAATGATGAAATGCTGAATTCTTTGCTCCTAAGAGCAGGAATTAAGGCATGAATATTTGTTCTTGCCACTTGTTTTCAACATAGTACTGACAATTCTCAGCAGTGAAATAAGCTATACAAAGTTAGTATATAAAAATAGCAGCAACAGACTCCAAGAAGGGACTAGTAGTTACCAAAGGGGAGGGGTGGGGAAGGACGAGTGGGGAGTGAGGGAGAAAGGGATTGTGGGGTAACATGACTGGTGCACATGGTATGTGTGGGGTCATGGGGAAGACAGTGTAGCTCAGAGAAGGCAAATAGGGACTCTGGCATCTTACTACACTGATGGGCAGTGACTGCAATAGAGTATAGGGGGGGACTTGATAATAAGGGTGAATGTAATAACCACATTGCTTTTCTTGTGAAACCTTCATAAGAGTGTATATCAATGATACCTTAATAAAAAAAAGATTGTAAAAAATCAAATAAAATAAGTAGGTACTGTATCAAAAAATCAATTAATATACTATGAAGAGCAATGAAACTGAGGCTGATGAAATGCATCATTTACAAATAGCATAAAAATATGAAATTCTTAGGCCAAAATTTGCAAGACATGTGCAATAGCTGTTTAGTGGAAACTGCAAACACTGCTTTTGGATCAGAGGATTCTGTATTGTTAAGATTTCACTTCTTCCCTCATTGATCTGTAGATTCAACACAATCCAAGTTAACTGACACACACTAAAATTTATCTGAAAATACAAAGTGTCTAGAATACACAAAGTTTGAAGCAAAGGTCAAAGTTGGAGGGCTTAACACTACCTGATTTCCAGACTTATAAAGATCTGGTAATTAGGTGATGTGGCATTTGTGTGAAAATAGGCATATAGATCAAAGGAAGATAATAGAGGTCCAGAAATAAATCCATACGGTATGGTCAGTTGATTTTTGATAGTTGCCAAGATATTTCAGTGGGGAAATGATAATTTTTGTATAAGTGGTCCTTAAACAATTGGATAACCATTTTAAGGGAGGAAAAATACTTCTTCCTTCTACTCTTCTAGGTTCTCAGCTGGGTTACTGTCTGGGACAGATTAACAAGAGAAAAAAGTTCTATAACATGTATACTTCATATATACATGGGAGAAACTCATGCATGAGTAACTCAAAGGTTTGGTTAGAACTTAAGCAAAGAAACAATAATTTTTTAGAGAACTGATATGACAAAGGGAAAGGACCTTGAGTCCCTAGGGGTGGCAAATTGTGGGAAGGCAAATTTATGTGAGTACTTATATATGTATATATATATGGTAGATAAAGCTAGTTATTTAGTACAGTTTATGTAGGGTCCTCTGGTACCATCTCCAGGCTGATAAGGGTTGTCTCTCATGGTTAACTTGTGTCTTCTTTGGTAAAGAAAGAGGAGGACAGTTTTGTAAATTTAATTCCTGTTGTTAGGCAAATGGAGGGCACAGGGCTTTTCTTTATCTGCTTCTCAATTTTCTTCTGCTCAAAATAATGCTTATGCCAGAGTGGCAGATTTTGTGGTGGCAAATGCTGTTACCTTTACCACATTGAAAAAAACAACAAAAAATATAACCCTCCAACTTGACACCATCAAAAAACTAACTCAAAATGGACTGTAGACTTATATATAAGAGCTAAAACAAATTCTAGAAGGAAACATCTGAGAAAATTATTGTGATCATAGATCAGACAAAATTGTCATAAATTGAACATGAAAAGCAAGCACGAAGTTTAAAAAAATGGATGTTTGATTTCATCAAAATAAAATAATTCTCTTTCAAGACACAGTGGAGAAAATGCAAAGACAAGCTATAGACTGGCAGAAAAAAAAAAGTTTAAGAAAATATTCCCTTGTAGGATATATGAAGAACTCTTATAATTCAGTAGTAAGACAATCCAATTAAAAAAATAGTCAAGAGATGTGAACACTTTGTCAAAGAAGGTATGGTATTGGCAAATAAGCACATGAAAAGATGTTCAACATTAGTCATTAAGGAAATACAAAGTAAAACCACAACATATTGCTGTACAGCTGTTAGTGTGGCTGATCTTAAACAGTGTGACTGAATCAAATGTGAGGATGTGGAGCAACTGAAACTCTAATATGTAACTGATAGGAATGTAAGATTTACAACCATTTCGAAACAGTTTGACTTAAAAACATTAAACATATATTTATCATAACACAGCAATTCTACCTCTGAAATGAATACTTAAATCCACATCAAGACTTGCACTGAATATTTATACCAACTCTGTAATAGTTAAAAATTGGAACCAACCCATGCATTACTTAAGAGGTAGATAAACAAATTGTGGTTTATTTATGCAGTGGTGTACTTCTCAGCAATAAAAATGAGCAATCTTTTGACATACTGGTACGTGGTATTGTAAAGAGCTGTTAATTGAAAATTTTGACTGTTGGGTGTCTTCCTTGTCTTAATTTGCATTTTCCTAATTACTGGTAAAAGATGAGCTTTCATTATTGGCTCTGGGTTTCTACTTCTGAGTCTTCTGTCAACTTTTCTACTGAGTTATTTGTCTTTTTCTTTTTGGTTTATAATTCTTTGTATATATTGAATATCAATTATTTGTCGTGTGTGTTTCAAAAATTTGCATTCTGTAGCTTATCTCTTTATGATTTTTTTTCATTGTATGGACATTTTAAATTTTAAAGTCATCATTTATAATCTTTTTTTTTTATTTTCTAGTCTGTGTTTCTGATTTTTAAGAAGTCTTTCCTTATGCTGAGGTCAATAAAGATTCTTCTGCATTTGCTTCTGACAGTTTTAAGGATTTACTTTTCATATGTAGTTTTATTCCACCTGGAATTTATGTTTGTGTGTGTGTCAATGTGACTCTGGTTTTCTATTCTATATAGGTAACTAATTAGCCCAAACCCTTTGTTATTGAATATTAATTATGACTCCTCTAATATAATCCAGTTTTTGGATATGTGTGAGTCTATTCTAGGATCTTTATTCTTTCCCATTGGTCTGCTTAATTTCCACTTAATTTCCACATGTCTTAATTACTACTTAATTACAAATGAAAAAACCTACACCCAGTAGGGCAGATCTTTCCACCTTGTTTATCTTACTCTTTCTCCATTGACATTTTTGTTAGATTGCATTGAATTTATAGATTAACTGAAGAGAACTGGCTTAGCAATATTGAGTATTTCACCAGAGGTATGGTCTGTAACTATTTATTTGGGTTTTATAATATCCTTCACTAGTGTTTCATAAATATTTCATTGAAAATCTTTTTTTTTTTTATCCCGAGGTAGTACTGGTTATTGTGTTTGGGTTCTCTTTTTCTGTTGTTGTTAGAATACAGATACATTGTTAATTTTAGTATATTGATTTTCACTGCTTCTGAATTTTTTTGATGCTGAATGGTTAGTCCTTGAGATCCTACACAGTCATACTGCTAAATTAGGATAGTTTTGATTTTCTTTCTAATTTTTGTACATCTTATTTCATTTTTGTGTCTTACTGCTTTTGTCTAAGACCTCCATTCAATATTAAATAGAGACAGAGTGATGGTGAGCTTCCTTATTTCACTCCTGACTGTAATGGATACTAGTTTTTCCTGTTCAATTCAGTAATAATGATAATGTCTGTCTGGTACTGTGTCAGTGATTTGTTGATCATTTTTGTAATATCTTGCGAGGCAAGTACATTTATTCCATTTTACAGATGAAGCTCAAAGAAGTAGAGTAGTTTGCCAGTTATGTGATTAGTGAGTAGAAAACCTGCAAATGAATCGCTGTTAATCCTTGTGCTTTACCTCAAGGAAGATCTTTCAGTGAGAAGTATAAAGTCTTGCCAAAATGAAATAGTGACATTGTCTTTATGAATTCTCCATCTGCTCTGTGCTCTAGAAGCAGCACATACTCCCTCAAAACTCTGGATCACAGACCTTACCTATTGCTTCCTTTCGGTATCCTGTTGATACAAATGAACACTATTGTTTTTTAGTCTTAATTATGAACTAATTTGGAGTACATCTTATTCATTGATTATCCAGTTCATGTTCAGTTTTCCCTAGTTGTCTCCAAGGTATCTTTTCTTATGATTGTATGAATATGGATCCAAACAAGGTTTGGATTTTAACTTTTTAGTGGAACAAATTGTGGGAACCAGAGAATTCACTGTGTATTTGGGGATGCTATGGATGAATTTTTTTGTGATTCAGTCTAGAAGAGCTGGAAGGCTTTTACTGGAATCTTGATACTGCCCATTTTAAAACTTGATTTGCTTTGCTAACAATTATG